CCCACTGCCTTTTTAAGCCCCCCCGCCCCCACCCCATCTTATTGGTCAGGAGTCTTGTCCCCTGTTTCCCTGCCCTCCCCGGTCTCTTAAAGGGGTAAGCTCCTCCAGCCCCTTTATCCTGGGGACATGAGGGCCTCTAAGGCATTTAAACGGGAGGGGGTACCCACGTTTTTGGTGGGGATGTAAAGAGTAGTAACCTCTTCCCCTTGCGCTCTCAAGCCCCAGCTCTTATGGGGCAGGACAGAAGTGCCCTTTGCTGGGGTTTTAAAGGACATGGTCCTTGGGCTTCTCTTTGTAGCATAGCAGCACAGAGGGAAGGTTCAGGTGTCCCTCACTGTGTCCCTCCAGGCCTTTTAAAGGGGCAAGAGGCCATTTTCTTCCCAGGACATGAAAGGACAACCTCCCCAAACACTGTCCATAGTGCTGCCAATGCCCCTCAATCCCAACCCGAAGTCCCCAGCCATCCCAGCCCTGGGCTTGCCCCCACAGCTCTGCTGATGCCCCCTCAGTCCTGATCTGAGGCCCATCCTCCCATGCACACAGTTCTGCCCAGGTGCCAGGATACGTTTCTCACACACCTCTGCCCATGTGTAGGGCCCTACCAAATTCACGGTACATTTTGGTCAATTTCACCGTCGTAGATTTTTAAACATGCAAATTTAATGATTTCAGCTATTTAAATCTGAAATTTCATAGTGCTATAATTGTAGGGGTTCCAACCCAAAAAAGGAATTGTGGAGGGGGATCCACAAGTTTATTGTAGGGAGATTGCAGTCCTACAACCCTACAACCCTGCAACCCTTACTTCTGCGCAGCTGCTGGAAGGGTGCTTCCTTTAGAGCTGGGCACCCAGCCAACAGCTGCCGCTCTCCAGCCGCCCAGCTTTGAAGGCAACATAGACATAAAAGTGGCAATACCACAACCTCTCTAAAATAACCTTGTGACCCCACTAAATCCCTTTTGGGTCAGGACCCCCAATTTGAGAAATGCAGATCTCCCCTGTGAAATCTACAGTATAAGGCAGAAGCACACAAAAGACCAGATTTCATGGTGGGAGACCAGATTTCATATTCCGTGGCCTGTTTTTTATGGCTGTGAATTTGATAGGGCCTTACCTCTGTGGTTTGTTTCACCAGGGGAATCCCCAAGCCAGGATAACTCCGGCAGCACCGAGGACTCAGAATTGATGTTAGGGGGGTCCCTGTCATGGAGTACCCCCCAGGAACTCCCTCTCATGGCCCCAGGGGGGCGGAAGTACTCTGATCACTGTGAGGAACGGGCATCTCGGCCTGGGAAGAGCCGCATCCCCGGGCGGGACCATCGGCGCTATTATCATGAGCACTGGCGGGCTGAGTACCTGATGGACTTCAACCCGGCACGACATGGCATGATCTGCATGGTGTGTGGCAGTGCCCTGGCCACCCTCAAGCTGAGCACCATCAAGCGTCACATCCGCCAGAAGCACCCCTACTCAGGGGCTTGGGGGCCCTGTGAGAAGCAGGTCATCATCCAGAGCTGGGACACCCACCTTGGGCTGAAAGGGGAGCTGAGGGGGCAGAGGGACTCTGCCCAGGCATCTGATAGCCTGCTGGGCACACAAGGTAGAGCACAAGCACTATGCCCTGGTCACCCCAAGCACCCATCCCCCGATCTGTGTAGCTCTCCCCACTACTCCTGTGCATTCCCATCTCTGAACACCCATCCCCCTGCATCTGGGCTCCCCTCCACTGCCCTGGGCACCCACAGGCTTCTTGAAGGCAGCCCCCTCCCGTGAGCACTCATCCCCCTTCTCAGGTGGCCCCAGCCTTAGGTGGTCGGGCGTGTAGGCAGTTTTGGGAAGGCCGTGCCTTCCCTTGCCTATATTACCGACCAACCGTGGTTAGGGATATCTGGGGCACTGACCTGTCTTTGTCTTCTCCAGGGGCACTTGTGCCCCCTGCCCATCTCGCCAAGGCCTGGGGTGGTGCAGGATGCTGATCAGTCTGTCTCCCCCAGGGATGCTGTTGGCAGGGGATGGGTTCCGGCGGCGGCGGCGCACCCCATGCCCATCTCCACAGGGCGCTGCCCGGCTGCTGGCGCCTGGGGGCAGGAAGGCATCGCCCAGCACCCGTCGGCTAGAACGCTACGTACGCGAGTCCCTGCAGAGCTGGTTCCAGGCCGAGTTCCTCATGGATTACGATGCCCAGGGCAACCGGCTGCACTGCATGATGTGTGGGTGTGGGCTGCCTAGCCTCAACTTGGATGATATCAAGCGCCATGTGCTGCAGGCCCATCCCGCCTCGCTGTCCTTCAGCCCCGCGGAGAAGAGCGCCATCCTGGAGGCCTGGAATTCCCGAGCCTTGGTGTTGGCGGCTGGCAAGGAGGAGCCCCCTGCAGGTGAGGGGGCAGAGAGACCAGGCTAGGGGACACCCTGTGTGGGCAGGGACTGGGAGACCAGGCTGGGGAGCCTGTGGGTGAGGGGAACATGCCATATCCTGTGTCCCCTCTATGGAGTGGGCTGGGGTAATTGCATGTGATACAGGTAGGGGGCAATCTTAACCAGTGGTGGGGAGGGGCTGTGTGTAAGGTGGGGGATCTGAGGGATGGGGTAGGAGCAGAATCTCTCTGTGCCTATGGGGCACCCACATGTGAACTCCCCAGCACCTGTCTTGACCTCTCCAGAGCCCAATGCCCCCTCACCTTGGGACCTTGATGCTGAGTCCCCTGAGCCGTGCCCAGCAGTGGCTGCCCCAGAGGCAGAGGAGAGCACCTCCCCGGAAAGCTGGGCCAAGGAGGAGCCTGAGGCACCATGGCAGCTGGATGCAGAGGGCACGGGGGGACTGTTGCGGGGTAAGGACCATCGGCGCCACTTCCAGGAGGACTGGCTGCTGGAGTACCTGATGGACTACCACGGCGAGCGGCGCGGGCTGGTGTGCATGGTGTGCGGGGGGGCGCTGGCCACCCTCAAAATGAGCACCATCAAGCGCCACATCCGCCAGCGGCATCCCGACTCCACCCTGCTCAGCCACCAGGTCAAAGCCCTGATCGTGGAGGAGTGGAACCGCAAGGTCTCCCAGCTGGTGGAGATGGGGACACCTCTGCCAGAGCAGGCCTCAGGTAGGTGGCAGGAGAGGCT